AGCACTACTGGCTGCGCGACTACACCTGAACCTCGGTCTAGGGAAATGTGCTTTCCAACTGTACAGCCATACCAAGTGTAAAGAGATGTTGGTACATACGTTGTCGCCATATGTTCTGTCCCGGATCTCACTGACGCATCCATTTGGTGCAAAAGGCTATCAAGGTTTCTCGGCGGAAGAGGAACTCGGCAAAGCCGTTGGCACCATGGAGAGAATGGAACGCAAGATTGACGACACCATATATGCTGATTTGCAATCGCTTCCGTGGGACCAGGCTATGGAACTTCTGGCTATGAAGCGGAAATTCAAATCGAGCTTGACAAAGCATATATGCAATATCGAGCGCCGCCGTATATCACGACTAAAGAGCGAACCAATTGATAACCTACCAGTCATCGACCCGAATAGTAAGTATTTTCTACGTTGTAGCTGATCATCGGCTAATTCATGTAGGCTATCGACACATCTCGGACAACGTGGACAGATCCGTGTTCCCCAATTATGAGCACTCTCAATCCCCTGGACCACTTCGACACATCATGCCTAACCCGATACCTAATGTCAACTGGCTGGCCGAAAGCCTTGATACCTGGGATACGAGCAGCAGAGTGCTTTATAGAGAGACACAAGTGTTGAACCCACAGGGTTCATGGATACGCTCAAATGCCACGCCTCCGGGGCATATCAGGGAAACCGACCTTAACATGACGCCTGCGGAATTCAAAGCTCAGGATTTGTGGGAGTGCATCAACTCTATCGCTAAGATGATGGTGTTGGGAGAAGATCCCATAGGAATGCTTTCTGTTCTGATCAAAGCGCTGCCGGAAGAGCTTCACGCGATGCGGTTGGCAATGGAAAAGTTACGCATGCCGGGCGCTACCAACTTGAAACTCGAAGATGAACCCACTATGTTCCATGAGAACATGCTTATATCCTGCTACACCAAGTTCGAGGTCCTCCGCGCGCTCATTAAGCTGGTCGAGCACCTACGCGAGAAGGTCGTCAATGCGAAGACTCACTACCTGAAGGCCAAGTTGCCGAAGAACTGGGTCAATGATATAGAAAGCGAGACCAAGATCTGTTTTGAGGCAATACGTGACGTGGCGCATAGCTATATCAAGCTCGTCGAAACAAAAGGTCAAGCTGCAATCAAGGCGCAAATACGGTGGGGTAAGACGGGCGAGCTACTGAAAGAGGTGCTGAGTGACGATGACGTCGACTTCTACGCAACTGAATATGTTGATAGCGCACTTCAGGCTTGGAAGGGTGTGCTGCAGGTTAAGCTTAAGTAGACTGACATACCGCAAATACATCCAGTCTGGTCTTTCGCATGCTTGTTTTCCTATGCGAAGTTCTGCGAAGATAACCCAACTCGAGAATCAGGCTATCGATTACCAGGTTTGCGTCTACGATGATCTCTAGCTTCCATCGTGAGTTTGACGATGGAGCATACAAGTACTCTGCCTTTGAACATCAGCTTGATGACCAAACCATCAGTATATATACACGCATTATTATCCGATTTCTTTACGGGTATCAGACCTATGATCTACACCTTCCCATACTATTACATTCGATACAACACTATCTCTATCTACGTGGGCTCCATACGAATAATGAACAAAAAGGATCCACCGAAGAGACTTGGCCGCCCCTACACGCCAGCACTGCTGTGACTGCAATAACCCCACGCTACTGGTAACTATCATCGATAAGACACTGAGATTTATCCGCTTTCGCCACAAGTACTATAAGCCTGTCGTCGTCTGTTGCTGCACATGCCATCATGATTCGCATGGCCAGTGAGCTTGAGATCAATATGCGACCGTTGTTAAGCGCTAGTCTTCAAGAAGACAAATATCGGAAATGCTAATGAAGTGGCCTGTGGACGGGATGTTGGACGGCTATGTCGAAAGATAGATTTTGCCTTGATGAATGATATGGCTGGAGGTGGCATTCTCTTATGAGAAAGATCGTGTTACCGTGTTCTTACTTTGTCTGGCACCCAAATACTGCAAGTATTCGCTATATTGACTAGACGTTGTTTCATTCCAGATAGGAGCGGCTTGACGAGGAAGTAAGGACTGCACATCCTCGCACTTTCACAATGAATTCTTAGCTGCAGCTGTCACCCACATCCCGATTTCCATCTTGTACTACCTGGACGTGGTGGCGGTGATTGCCTAGATGCGGGTTACTTTGTCGAATCTTCTGACTTCATAGTGAAGACGCAAACGCTGTATCCCCACAACCCAACTCACGTTCACCTCATTCTTAGCTCCGCCATTATTACTATTTCGTCGTTCACTGAGAATTTTTCAAAGCCAAACTATCACTGTCAGCTTGACTTGCTGTTTCGCTCAGCTTTGTCGCAGCTTCATCTTTTGCACTTGGGAACAGTTTACTGTCAATACCGCGCAAGCCTTTTGCGATTGTCTCCATGGACGCAATGTCTTCATCATCGTCAACCCACAGCCCTGGCTCTGGCGACAAACCAGACGAGCACTTCAAAGTCTCTCGCTCAGAGCGGATGTACTCTCTCGCAATACCAAAAGACCCACAGCACACTGTGATGAATCTACCAAACATCTCAATCAGTAATACAGACGGCGATAAGATAAACCAATTAACAGAACCTGGAGAAGCTGCTCAGAGAGCTCGGTATGAGGGCCTAAGGTATTTGATCGACATGACAGGAGGAAGTTACGAGTATGCAGGATTAGGGCTGACGGAAAAATTCCCTGGTAGTGTTGCACGCGCACGAGCTCAAGCAGAGCGTCGACTACAAGAGAGCAAGAAACAGCAGGTCTATACTACTCCGCCTACAAATTTCACGCCGAAATATACCGGCAGGTCGCTGGTCACAATGGAGAAGACTCTTCGAGATCGCTACAACGGGCCTGTTACCTCCGCGCTTGACAACGAGTCCATCACTTCCGCGTACCCCAGTAGTGGCAAAGCAGCAGTCCCGAATGCAATCGCCTCATCCAACGACAACAAAGAGGCACCAAAACCTGACGGCAAATGGCGCTGTTGCAAGTGTCACCGCGGTTACGAGATCTACAGCTTCGCAAAAGGCCAGCATCCAGTCAGTGTCCTGAGCTGCGAATGCACACATCGATCTTGTTCCAAGTGCACATTAGAGGGTCTGGTTAAGCACTTCGTACCGATGAGCGAGCCGGAGTTGATCCCTTTGTCTGAAGATAAGGACAAGGTTATACGGTTCGGTGTATTCTGCGAAGGCTGTGGTTTATCCTGGCGCGCAGAGAAGGTCCAAGACGAGGTCAAGAAAAAGCCGGCGTACAAGTCAGCCCTACTACGTGTTTCTGCAGTTCCTAGGCGACTAACGATGCGCGGTGGCGTACACCCTCTGGAGCGCCTCCGACTTAGTCGGTCGATGAACAACCTGCACGATGATACAGAGAGGCAACCTTCTGCTGTATCAATAGCCTCTTCCAGGTCCGTCCTCAGCCTCCGGTCCCTGTCGAGCGATATGAAGAGAGGGCATGGAGAGCAGGCCGAGTCTGTTTCTGTCAAGTTCACGGGCATCAAGTGTACTTGCGGCATGACTACTGAAACTTCTTCGCTCTGTTTCCAGACCGTAGATCCGCCAAAAGACTTCCGCAAGGTACAGTTTGCAAAGCAAGTGGTTGCGCGCAACGTCGCTAGGTTTGGCAGTACACCGGAAGATAGAGCGAGGGGACATGGTACACCTACCTTGACGTTGAAGGGAAGCCGCCACCCGAATCCCCTCAGGAGCAACCCTGTGGAGTAAAGTGACAGGAGATCAAGCAGTAGTCGTCTCCTGCTACAGATCTAGGAGTAAAGATTCGGTTGAAGGAAGGGTGAGGTTGGAAGGTAGCGTCTATGGTTCGCATGTATTGAGCCGAAATTGAGGCCGCCAAGAGTTAGGATCACCTAAGGCCGTCCATTCTCCAGTTCCGTTCCTCGGATATTACAGTCAGGGATCCTGGATGAATTATATAGGCGCAGCGGGACTGACCTTTCCATTTCTTACTTGAGAGATCCACACTGCGATTGTCGGTAACATGTCGTTTGGACTTGTAGGCAGACGTGATCTGACTGTTGATCAGGTCTTTGAGCCTGTCGGTCGTATCTGGTCATATTACCATGGGCCAGGCAATAGTTAGGCCGTTCCTTAGTCCTCTAATTGATCCTAGTGTTGCACCTGTGACAGCATCGCCACAGTATGCCATCGTTCGTGACACCAGGTTCATTGTATAAACATGACGGATCTTAACGACGGTTTCCAGGTTTAAGTAAGTCTTTGTGAATGTGACTGATATTAGTTGGTGTGACCAATATGACTCAGCCTCTCAGCGCTCACATGTACTTCAGCTCCAGCCTTAGCCGCCGTATTCTATCGCGATAGCTCTTTCGGCCAACTCCGAAACCTCCAACACCAGTGTTGAACCCGCCCTATCAATTACCTCGTCAAGTATCACGCAGTTCAGTGATCAACACGATGGCGGATAGCCATCTAGGTACTGCCTTCGATAACAGCCTTATAGACAGCCTCGCCACAAGCGCCAGGGGTACAAAGAGACGAGAAAGATACTAGCCACACTTCGCCTCATGTGAACCAGTCTAGCGTACAAGCAAGATCCCCAACAATGGAGTCGGTGTAGAAAAATCTGCACGTGTGTTATGTAGAATCTGTATAGCCGGCGCGAACTATCAGGCGCCTTGGAGGCACAGCCTCGTTGTGGATCCCGATGTTGCAGCCTGGCGCCAAACGTCAAGTTGCAGGCAGCTCAAGAAATCGCAAATAAGATGCGCAAAGCCATGCGCATTGTGAAGCATCTGCCCTATCGGTTCATTCACAGTTTCAAATCACAAACACTCATCTAAAACGCGTACCAACATTGTCTGTGTCCGTCTGTTTGCATCGTTCCACAAGGGCCCGACGATCCAAGACATCCGCAGTCAAGGGTTCGGCTATGTCACTGGTCGAGTATGACTAGCCCCACCAAACGACCATGAGACAAACAAGGCACGCAACTAACTTCCCTTCACAGCTTCCACTCTCTTCATCAGCCTTTGTCCTACACCACTCTGGCCCGAGCAGCTACTCTTCCGATAAAATCCGAGGTTTTGTTACTAAAGAGCGACTTCAGCAGCTGACGGGTCACTTAATGAGGAGCCATACAACCTGGTCTAAGATCGTTGAGAAGTTCGTAGGCAAGAACGAGACAACCGATAGCGAACCTCCCAAGGTGGACATTCCCGAGGAAGCGACAAAGGAGCAAGCTACCGATATGAGCAAATCTCCCGGTGTGACGAGTATTGATAAGGTGGTTGAAGACAAAAGCATCAACTTCCACCCTGGCCATCACCAGAACCAACACCGCACAAGGACTTTGTGCACTCTAATCCCCGGAACCACCTACATACCGCAAATTTACTGTCTTTACCGCTGGCAGCATAGAGATGGGTGGCGCAGTCAACTGGCAGCCGCTAATGGCAACCATGCTTAATCACTTGCCGATCACTGTATGCAATCCCCGGAAAGGCTTTTGGGATCAAAGCATTACGCAACAGGCCAAGGATGAATTCTTCAAACAACAGGTCGTCTGGGAGCTAGATGCACTAGAACAAGCAGATGTCATCTGTTTCTTTTTCGATACCGAGACTAAGAGCCCCGTGTCTCTCCTCGAGCTGGGTCTCTGGACTGCATCCGATAAGGTTGTTGTTTGCTGCGGAGAAGCATACTGGAAATCGGGAAATGTCCATCTCACATGTGACCGGTATGGTGTCAAATGTGTCGAGACATTCGCAGAATTGGTGCCCGAGGTCGAGAAGATGCTCACGGCGAAGGGCATGAAACTTGACGACAATGGCGACTTGATCGGGGAGAACATACACGTGCAAAAAGAGAAGCCAAAGAAGAAGTCGCAGCTTGAGGCAGAGAAGGCAGACTTGCAGAGACAAGTCGATGATCTGCTAGCCAAGCTGGCGGTACAGTCGAACATGTGATCAAGATATGTCCCGAGTGGTTTCTGGTGCTTACGGTGCGACTGTTGTTGGCGTTGGCGGCTATCTGTGCATGTTTGATACCAACAAGCGTGGGTGGATATCTTGATTTCTGGTCTGGTGTTGTTTATGTCTTTGTCATATGTCTATTCCATGATTATACGTCTCCATGTCAGAAGTTCCTTGCTGATGAGGGTTTCACACCCCTTCTCCTTGGCTATTATGAAGACCCGGTGAAGAATAGATAACGAAATCGATACCCCTCCGACTCCTCTCTTCTGTCATATCGTCAAACTTTACACCATACAAGCGAGCGGTGCGCTTCACCGATGTGGCCGCTTCTCTACTGATCATTCTGGGAAGACACATTGTGCAACCGAGATAGCGCTGGAAGTTAGGATGTAAATGCTCGTCAAAGCACCATAGTCAATAATGTACATGTATCGCCGCCTTGCGATTCGCATATATATACATACATCTACACTTCCTACCTTCCATACCTATTTTATAATTGTCATATGCCATAGTACAGCAAAGCTCTTCTCCCAAACTCTTCCTGATATTCCCCCAATATCCTTTCCAAATGCCTTGCGACCTCGTTTCCCGCTGAGTCCCAGAATAGACCCAAGTAGTGGATCTCTTGCGGCTATGTATATACCTATCATACCCAATATATCCTGCTTGCTACGTACACGACAGACATCCCGGAAAGGTAGAATGTGAGCCAGTCCGAGGCGTGAGACGGTAGCTTATGGGCATGGCGAACAGTATGACCGGTCGTGACAAGCCCTCTTTCACTCAGACAAGTAGTATGAGGCGGAGAAAAGGCTCCACGACCCCACAGTCTGTTTACCAGTCGAAAAGTCAGGCTAACAAGCAGTCCGTGACCACCAGCCGCCGCTATGGCGGGGACACCACGTCGGTATGTCCTCTCCCATTCCTCAACCCACCTCAACATCAAATGCAACCCTGACCCATAAACTGCACCCCACACACCCAACCAGTACCTCCTTCTCGCCCCTTGCCTCTGCCTCTTCGAGCTCTTCTTCCAGTATACTAAACCCCTTGTCCGCACCACATCGACATGCCCTCGTCCACGTCATTTGTTCCTGTCCTTTTTCCTGCCCCGAAACATCTGTGTTTTCAGACGCGTCCCCAGCCTCCGGTTCCCAAACGTCAAAGTCCCCAAGATCAAGCAACTCAAGCCCCAGTATGAAATCGCTCGACGGCTGTGTACTCGTATTTGTATGCGTATGCGTATGCGTGTCCGCAGTCTGCGCCGACGCAATGCTATCGCGATGATGAAAGAACCAATTCTCGTATTCTGTCTTTGTCGTTCCGTTTGCGAGCGCCGTGTAGGCTTCTTTTACGTCGTCGACTGTGTATGCGGGTTTCGTCTTTGCGGTCGCGGTGATGGCGCTCGCTTTGTCTGGGTGTGCTGCTAGCAAGGCGACTTTGTACGCTCGACGTAATTCCGCTGGCGGGGTTTCTTGTTTCGAGGACCAGCCTGGCGCAGGTAGTTGTAAGATGTGGTAGTAGTCTTTGGTGTATGCCATGGTTTTCGTATTTGCGCGACAGTCGCGAGTTGATGTGATGGTACGGAGGTAAGAGATGGGACCTAAGGAAATAGAAACTGTTATATAGAATTATGAGCGATGCTCGCCCTTGGAGGGCTTGTTTGGAACTTTTGCCATACGCGAGGCGACATGGGAGACAGAAAAGTTAGGCGGGGAGGGCTGTTCGGTTCCAAGTGGTGGGGCAGCGGCTGCCCGTTCCACAGGGTCTGGCACATGGAAAAGGACCGATCAAAGTTCCAAGATCGACGATATACATGCTCCTTGCAGTGAGTCAGAGATCAATGCGAATCAAGGTTCGAGAGTCACGGCATAAGAGGGCAAGATTGAAGTAGCGATTCCTTTGGCTAGCTAAGAGTGCAGTATGATGACATTAAGCCCATCAGAGCCTTTCGTACTGCTCTACCGGCCATCGAAACAGATGTCCTGACTCCCAGAATCACCAAGAGGATGTCAAACATCTCTGTCGGCATAGGATCGAGGTGTTTATGTGCTGCCAAAACGAAAACATGGGGGAATTGAGGGTAGCATCCGACGTACCAAACGCAGCCGTATCTCGCCGGTAGCAGCTCGAGACTCTCACGAGGAAGAGCTCAGAAGTACTGCGGTTGTGTGTGAAACGCAACCCCAGCACGCTGCGTGCTCGATGGGACAGCGCCGGCGATAGGAGAGTAAAGGGAAATACATTCAGTCATGGGGAATTCGACCGTACCGAACCGCTTGCTGCCAAAGCCAATTTTTGAAATCACACAGAACACGTACAACTCCGTAGGACACTCGCTGCCGGCCCTCTTCGTCTATTCGAGAACAGATGATGATGGCTTAGGATACACAAGGTCGAAATAGGGAGAGTGTGCTTAAGCAGCAGGAGCAGGGGCGGGAGCAGCTGGCTGCTCGTCGGCCTTGGGCTCGGATGCAGCCGGTGCGTCCTCAGTGGTCTTGGCCTCGTCCTTGGGTGCGTCGGTGGCACCAGCGGCCTCGCCCTCGTTACCGTCTGATGACGTCCAGAGAGTGAGGTTGTCACGGAGGAGCTGCATGATGAGGGTGCTGTCGCGGTAGGACTCCTCGGACAGAGAGTCGAGCTCAGCGATGGCGTCGTCGAAAGCCTGCTTGGCAAGGTGGCAAGCACGGTCGGGCGAGTTCAGGATCTCGTAGTAGAAGACCGAGAAGTTTAGCGCGAGGCCAAGACGGATGGGGTGGGTGGGTGTGAGCTCAGTCTGAGCAACGTCGGTGGCCGTCTGTGTTGCGGGGTTAGGCGGCTGTTGATTCACAGAGTAGTCATTGCGTCATACCTTGTAGGCCTCGTGTGCAGCAGTCGCAGCAACCTTGCGCTTCTCACCGGAAGCGAATTCGGCAAGATAACGGTGGTAGTCTCCCTTCCTGTGCCCGTGTTAGCCTTGTTTGCAGCGGATGTAGCGGTGTGCACGCACATCTTGTGGTAGAAGACCTTGGACTCGCCGGACTCGGCCTTCGGGATGAGAGAGTCGTCGAGGACGTTGAGGACATCCTGGCAGACCTGCTCAAGCTCGGTCTCGATCTTCTGGCGGTAGTCGCGGATGGTGCCGACGTGCTTCTCAGAGCCCTTGGACTCCTCCTTCTGCTCGATCGAGGAGATGATGCGCCACGACGCGCGTCGGGTACCGACAACGTTCTTGTAGGCGACGGACAGAAGGTTGCGCTCGTCAACGGTGAGCTCACCGGCGACCTGTCGTGTGTTAGTTGAGGCCAGATAGGAGCCTGCTGTGGCGGGCGCCTGCTCGTCTGAGAGCGGATGCGGTCGGGCATACCTTGGCGACTTCCTGCGAAACAATCAGTATGTGAGTCCAGATGAGCAGCGATAGCAGAACAACTGACCTTCATGTATGTAACCATCTCTGCAGACTACTGTTAGCTTGCGCGGCCATAGCTGGGAGCGCGCGGAGACTTACCATCGTAACGCTCAGCCTGTTCGCACAGCCGGGCGAGGAAAGTCTTGCTATTGCCATGTCAATTACGGGCTGGCGCTGTATGCAGCAGCTAGATCGTACCTCTCACGCTGTTTGACGTTAGCCCGTGTTGCTTGCTTGTAGTTTATCGGGGCTCAGAGGGGCATCCCGCCGGGGGACAACAGCGGGGGGGAATGGGGGCAGAATCAGCACCACGTACCTCAGTCGCCATTGTGATGGTTGAGTTGATGTGTGTTTTGGTGGTCGGGAGACTGTGGGGGTGGGTGCAGATGCGTATGGAAGGATAGACGGTGGGCGGAGTTGTTGAGGTGTTTGTGTGGATCAACGAACAGAAGAGGATCGAAGTTGTTTTGAGGAAGCGAGCGTCTGCCCTAAGAGAGCCCCCCCGGGGCCGTGCGTAGAGCGAACAACACCACCCCATCGACTGCGCCTTCCCTCAATTGGCGCCTGAGCTGCCATTCACATGATCTCCTGCCCCGTTTACACGCTGGCACGCCTTCCTTCACACCCTTCAGACTCTTCACTACATACCACATACCTCTATTCCCCCTATCGCCCCTACAGTTGCGTCGCCATGTCCAGCCTCTCTATCTTCGCAGGAGCTGGCAATGAGGGGCACTTGGGCACGTGAGCAGCTTCAGGGTCTGCCCTTTCACCGGCCCCTTCAGCTACATCACCCCCCTAGGTTCTATTCGCGACATGTGCAATTGCATCGTCCTGCACTCATCTTACTCCAGTTTGCCTGTAACGTCTACAACCAGCAGTCACACCAGTCGAGCTCTGAAGCGCGGCCGCCAACGAGAGGCTGACTCCTAGACTGCCGTCCCATGTCCAAGTGGGGGCCAATCAGTGCACCTTGGAAACAGCTAGAAAACCTGGACAGAAGCCGTTGCGTTGCGAGCTTTCTGCGCCATGATTCGTGTCACGTTGCGGTGAAGTACCACGGCCAAATGCCAGAGACCCAGAGCCGTTAGCTTTCCGTGTCACATGTGGCTGATCTGAGGCGCCAGGCCTGCTAGGCGGCCTGGCACATGTATCCACAGCAGCCCAACAGCGTAGACATCATGTTCCAATAGGCGAGCAGCCCTCTTCTCAATATCAGCGCGCATGTTGTGAATTTGCCTGAATACCAAGGCAGCCGTTCGTATTCAACGCTCTACACGGACAACCTTGTTCCCGCGCGCTGCATATGCACGCCACAATGTCTTATCTAAAACCAACCGTTGCGGTCTCGGCATCATCCCATCGTGCACGGCTGCTATGGAGCCGTTCTTCCGTTGCAAGCAACGAACTGCATTGACGAATACTGTAGCACATAAATCGTGCAACTCAGGGACATGGTCATGTGCACTCTGAGCTTTGTAGCTCTCTGAGGCTGTTCACGTCTGATCCAAGATATCTTCATACATGCCATCGCATCGTGCCTCACATTAACAACCGCCACACTCCCAACATCAACGCCGCAGTACCGGTGCAGACTCCC